GGAACATGGATTTCTTTGTGTGGCTAAGCAAATGGAGATGTTGATGGGGAAGTATTTGCCTACAGTCAGCCCCACTACCATTGGCAGAGATAGGAGTTGTCCTCAGCTGCTGTGCTCTGCTCTAACCCCCAAAAGTCTTCTCCTGATAAACAAGGAGGGGGTGGGAATGACCGTGAGCTTATAGGGCCCGTGGGCAGCTGCTCCGCTCCTGCTGACGTACTGCAAATGTGTGCTATGAAAAGCAACCTCATGTGGATCCTCCCTGTGCCAAGTGGGGCTATAAACTGTGGAGCAAAGAGAACCCGACCGACTGATTGTCCACATTAAAAGCTAGAATCCAGTGAAGAACAGACGTCTCCACACCATGAGTGACTACTTCAAGATACCCGTGGAAAAGGTCAGTGGAAAGTGAAGGGTGTAGGTACATGTCACAGGCTGTGGAGTGAGTTCATAAAATGACTCCAGGGAATTTCCCTTTCCATTGCAGAAAGGAAGTCAGCACTGATCCTATGGCAATGAGAAATGATGAGGTGGATCCAGGAAGGATAAAATAAGAATCAAGTAGGATGTTAGAAAGAGAAAAGCAAGGCAATAAAGGTTAAAGAGAAGATGAGGTAAGGAAAACAGAAAAAAAGTGAAAATGAGTGTACGAGACAGTTTGCACAGAGCCGAGAAGAACAAGAACATGGGGAAGGGACGGGGCAGCCAACAAAGGAAAGAAAGGGAAGAAGACTTCCTGAGGGAGATTAAGCATTTTGTTGCCAGTCCAGTATTGATTCAAACATTGTCCAAGATGAGGGCTGGAGTGTTGTCCAGGGAAAAAACCCATGTTATTCTAAAACGTGCAATCCAAAACATGCAATTCTGTGAATCAAAGGAAGTTTACAGAACACAGAAAAATCTGCTTGAGCATGTCCAAAACTATTCTGCCTCTGGAAAATTGCTGTGGAGGGACAGATGAAGACCACATTACAGAAGTTCAGCTCCAAGTTACGGTTTGCACTGCTGTGTTATTAAAAGAAAAGTGAAGACTATTTTTAGATTAAACTAACTTGAATGCAGATCATCAATTTTCAGCAGAATTTCTTCTCTTTCAAGACTTTTTCTTTGATATAGGTGAATCTGTCCTACCAACATTAATAATTCAAATGAGTGAGTAGATAATGACAAGATAATGACAAAGAACTGCCAAAAAAGCAGAAATATTAATAGAAAATAGTCTCCAGGAAAAAAATGACTACTGTTGAGAATTGTCCCTTACACTTTAAGTGCAGAGGTTTTTGGATTTATCCTTTCGGAAAAAAAAAAGAGTACTTTTTTTTTCAAGTTAGAGCATTTACTTGAAAGAAAGGAGAATAGATCCCTACATGTTCTTACTGAGCAACATAACTTTATTACTGTATAATCACAGTGTCTCTGTCAAATGGGTGAAGAGGAAATTATAACAATGTGTGGAACTGAATTGCTTAATGCTCTGAAGTTTCCTTCCTTTAAATCAATTCCCTGGAGATGAGAATGGAAATAGTTTGAAGGACCTACGAGAGCAAGTGAAGACCTGTAGATGGCCTCATACATACTCTGGGGCACACACACAGTCTAGAGCCTGCCTTGGAGATCAGAGTGGTGCCAACAATACTCTGCCTTCGCCAAGTTACCAGAAAAATTCTGTCGTGTTTTTCCTGCACATGAAAGATGTCATGGTTTTGTTATAAGTGAGCAGACTGATCTGCGCAGCATCACCAGGTTAAGTACTCCTAGAAGTTCTCCATCCCTGGAAACATTCAAGGTCAGGTTGGATGAGGCTCTGAACAACTTGCTCTAGTTGAAGATGTCCCTACTCGCTGCAGGGGGAGGTGGACTAGATGACCTCTAAAGGTCCCTTCCGACCCAAACCACTCTATGATTCTACGAAGTTCATTCTGCAAAGCACGTTCAGAACAAGCCTAATATACATTGCCATGTGCAGCCCTCGTGACCAACAGGGATTATTTCTCTTGAAAAAGAAGCTGGCACCAGCTGGTATCAGGATACATCCAGCCTGCTGGCCACGTATGACTGACTGTCAGCTTTATGCAGACACTCTAAATGAATAGACCAGTCTTGTCTTGAGCAGATCTCGATGGATACTCTGTGCAAACATTAGCCATGGGAGAGAATCGTATTGGTTTAGTCCTTCTGCTAAATTTCCTCCTGGATGGGGGTAAGGGCTGTTGTCATCTTTTCACAAGTACTTATAAGAAGCCAATAAAACCAAGAACTGACCCCCAAAATCTTCAAATAAAAAAATAGAAAATGTTGATCAAGAAGGGACAAAAAGTTCTGGGAAGACACAAATCTGAATAAATAAGCATCAATTTTATTGAATCATGAATAATTTAAGACTGGTACAATCATCAGCTTTATTCTCCATGACACAGGGGGCGGGGAAGGGTGAGAAACGGGTAGGGTGAGAAAGGGGAGGCATGATCTCAAACAGACCATTCACAAATTCCAATCCTAAATGAGAACTGAAAATTAAATAGGGAGAGGAGCAAATGGAAAACATCATAAACGTACACAAAATACTCAATTCCTAGTTTTTCTCTTTAAAAATGGCTAGAAAAAATTCATCAAAATGCAGCACTTTTAATCAAATATTTACATTTCTATGTTACAATGAAAAAATGTACATCTTATAGAACATATTTCATAAACTGTTCCACTGGAAACGACTAGATCAAAACAGCAACCTTCCATTTAATATCAACAAAGAAAGATTTTTTTTTTTGCTTTGATTTTGTATTTTTTTCTTGAAAGAAAATTGCCACATTTAGACAAGATTTCATACACATAATATCGAAGTTAAGCATCAACAATGAAATATCAGCTTGCTTCTTCCAAAATGTACAAAATGGCTAACCGACCCCCTCCCTCCCCTTCCCCAAATAAACCACATTTCATTTATGGCCTGTATCATTCTTGGCAGTTCTGAAGGAAAGAAAATGGTTTATACTTTCAATGTATAGTTCAACATGAATGTTGCATAGAATCTTGCTTTTCTTTCTTGTTGTTTTTTTTTTAAACAAGCCAACTTTGTAAGGGAAAAAAAGGCAAAAAAAAAAAAAAAAAGGAAGTGTTTTGAAAAAGCCTTAAATGAGAACAAAGTCACTTAAAGAAAGACTTAATCTATGAAAAGTCTTGATAAAAACTAAGACGTGTGCACGACAGGTAACCCTGCTTCCCGAAGTTTCAGAAAAGACACTTGAGTATTGTGATGCTTAGAATGACTAGCCTACTCAAAATTGCCTCTCACTGTAATCCAAGCTAGTGTCAATAAAAAATAATAGAAAACAGAAATTTCTTCCTGAGCTTAAGCACAGGATTAAAAATGAGAAAAAACCCACCCGTTCCCCACAAATAAAACACCTTTTTAATCATGTCTTATAGCACTCAGTTAAGGGTTAACTGAGAAATTTTCTAGGATATTAAGTCCGCTTAAAGCCCTAGCCCTGCAACTGGATTTTTTTACAGGCACATGCTCTATCTGCATGGATTCAGTTGGGGGATTAGGTACCAAAATTCACAGTAGTAGCAGGTAAAGTCAGTGCTGGGAAGCAGAATTGTCAAGACTACTGGAAAAATTAACCTCTCTCAAACTCATCACCAGCATGCTATGTACTTGATTTCATACAGATTTATCCCATTTTTACAGTACCAAGAACTGGATTAGGAACGTTGGCTGAGTAACCCTTGGTATTTCATTCAGTGAAATAATGAAATAGAGTTCATAAAGTTAAAACAGTAACACCACCAAGCTCTTCCCCCCATCATTAAAATATTTAAATTTTTCTTTTACAATATTTTTCTTTAAAAAAAAAAAAAAGTCATCAGCACTTAAAAGTTGTAACAGGAGCGATTCAAGACCAGCTCAGTAAGACAAAGTACAGTTATGTTACAGAAAGTCATGAGGTATAATAAAACAATCCTCTCAAGCCGAGTCACAGAAGCATGAACTTGTCTGTGATATTACTTTAAACCCACAAGCTCTTAAAAAAGTGTTTGTAGTAAGCTTTTTCTGTACATTGAAAAACCAGCATATTCCTGTAATTTATTAATGACAGCATTTATTATAGTTGAAAAGCTTTTTTTTTTTTCCTCCTGCATGGATAAAACAGCTCTTCAGTGATTTATTAGCTGCGGATTGATATGAACCTGAAAAGTTATCTCATTTCCCTCCTTTTTTGTCACATTTAAACAAATTCTAGTATCTTATATAAACAATATTCACAGCAACTTATTGATATTCCAAGAGATGACTTTAGCCCTGTTTGTTTAAATAAAATCCCATAATATACAGCACTAATTTAATCAAACACAATTAGTACAAAATAAGGCATCACTTTAAAAGTCAGCACCAAAAGATAGCTGGAAAGGCTAGTACAAATCAATATTGAGGAGTGACGTTTTTGCTGAGGTACAGCTGATGTTGGGGTGATGGCGGTGCAAGCATTCGCTGCCGTAAAAAGGAAAGTGCAATTCTTTGGGAGGTGTTCTTGCTCCCCAACAGAAGTACAAGCCTTAACACTGATAGTGTAGGTGTGCGTGTTCAGAGAGGAGGAGAAATAAAACCAGGTTCACAGCTCTGCCAAAACTCAAAAGCATGGCCCAGCTACGCTTAAAAGACGCAGTACCTTCCCTCCTTTTTTCCCAGACCTGAATACTGCTAAAATAACTACTTTTTTTTTTTTTGGAAGTAAAAAGAAAAGTCATGGAAGTAAATGTTGTCACCAGAGTAGCACTGGAACTGTCACAGAGCTGAGTTTTAATTAACCCATTTATGGTTGTGCTGATTGGAACGAAACCTCTGAACAAACCCCAAAGTTTTTAGAAAACAGCTGTAACATTTCATGGCAAGAATTAAAAATGGAAAGTCCGATTAATCCCTTTCCAGGGGTGTAGCTCACCTCCGTGTACAGGGCTCACGACGCCTGTGCACGCCGAAGGTCCTTTGGAGCTGTAGGACTTCACAGGACACGGCCCTTTTGCTGACTTCTGCGGAGGAGGGAAACTCACTCTCATCAGTGTAAATAAATCGGGCGTAACGCCACTGAAGTCAACCGAGTTGGTTACATGGATGTAAGTGGGAAGAGAATCGGGCCCTGACTAGCAAAGGGCTACCTGATCTTTCACTTGTAGTAGGATTGATTGTTACACAGTGTTTGAAAAAACCTGATTTGTTCAGACTGTATATATATTTTTATATATTCCTATTTATATATATATCTTTATAAACACACAATGAAAGAAAGCCAAGGTCTCAGACTGGCAAGGAGAGCAGCGCTTTTTCTTTTTTTTTCTTTTTTTTTTTTCCTTTTCTCTTTTTTAATATTTATTCAAACTTCCCTGTTTTGCAGCTTTGCCTTTATTGAGTATTATTACCAAGGCAAGCGATATTGTTATAGCACCAGAACTATACGAAGCTGAGTTTAATCTGCAAAGCTGATTGGTAAAAGTCCAGCCCTCACCTCTATGTGTTTGGTCAGAAGCAGCATAGGCAAAAATTTCCTCTCCCTTCTCCTTCCGGACAGTACATGGCACAAAGCTGTTTGCTTCATAGCTGTGAAGTTCCCCCCCCGCCCCTTCAACTTTTAGTAACGATGATTACTTTTAACATCTTCAGTATCTTAGGCATGAGAGCTTACAGCAACTAAACAGAAGAAAACAAAGGAATAGTGCAGTTCTCATCATTGTCAAAAGAAAAACAATACAAAGGTTGCTTGGGTTGCCTGCACCCAGGTTCAAGACTGACTCCAAGTGTCTTGTTCTTGCAGCTCTAATACTGAGATCCCAGCCCAGCCCAGGAACGTGTTCTGTTCATGAGTCTGTGATCAGATTTCTTGCCAAGTGGGAGAGAAATAATGGAAACAACCTATTTCTATTGGAGGAAGATCACAGCGTCGACTCCAGAGATGAATCGAGGATGTCATCGTGATGGCTGTTGCTGTTAGAGTCACTGTCGTAACTCTGGGGACTTGAGTAGTTGGCTGCTTCTTGCAGTCTCATTAGCATGTTCATCTGCAAAGGCACAGAAGTTCACGATTATTTGTATTCTGAGGTAGAAAGAGTATCAACTCTGTACGAGAGCTACAGTGGCATTCACTTTGCCAGGGGGTAACAAGGGAAAGGAAGAAACAAGCGGGGTAATCTGGTAATCTGAGTCTCTGAAAGAAGATATTAACTGTAAATCGTATTATAGCAGCATGCAAGTTAGTCATGAAAAGGGTGCTTTTCCAGTAAAGGTGAAAATGAGAAGATCGAAGGGATTAGTCCACAGCCATACTCGACAGGATTCTGCAAGCATCCTACCCCTCTCTTCCTCTGACCCATGGAAATACAGACAGATCAGTCAAAAGAGCCAAATCTGAATGTCCAAATATCTAGCTTGATATTTGTACATGTATATATGAGCTAGTAAAAACTGTAACACACGTTCTATACTCCCAACTGTCCAGAAAAATGTACACCTCAACAGCTTCAGGGCATTCAGTTTGCACAGCAGCTTCAATAACTGTTTTCCATTGGAAGAAAATGTGTATATAGTGTTACCTTCAAGCTCAGTTTGTACATTCTATACAAATACATGTTAACATTTCCCTATGTGCTAGTGTGGTATTTCCAATTCATAAATTAGACACCAGTCATGGAGATTATTAGTTCACATATTCTTTGAAAATCTCAGTTTTCATTTGGTGTCAAGAATACAGCTCTAAAAGCCACATGAAGTAAAGCAACAAGGCTATTTTGTGATTGTGGCAAAACAGGCTAAATGAAATGGTTCCACTGTATTATTCAAGTATGTGTAACAAGATCACACATTTAATTCCATTGTGTAGAAATTAAGTTTATTACACACATCCCCAGTCACTCCTCAAAAAAGGAATCCTCAAAATACCCTCATCAAATAAATCTGAAAAGCCTCTGCCGCTGTTTCTTGCAAAAACTGTGCAGGCTTTCCGTGCGAATGCATTCCCTGAGCTGACTTGATGACTTCCCCAGAAACATTGCCTTCTCATTCTAAAACTTTTAATCCCTCCTCAGCTGTCCTTTACTTTTTTTATTCCTGTTTCTAATCCCTAGCATCCAGGGAAACGAAGCGGTTCTGCTGTTTCAAAAATGAGAGCTTACCAAAGGATCTCCCTCAGCATCACTCACTGGAACTTGTTTGCTGGTGGAGCCTTCCCGTGACATCGAGTAGCCGTCAAAGCCCACGTCTTCCGGCCGCAGCTGTAGCAGAGGAGGCCACTCGTGGTGCTGTGGGGTGGCTGCCCAGGGGTAGGTGTCCATTACCCATTTGGCAGGATCCTCCCAGGGCGCTCTCCTCCCATACAACTGGAAAAGCATAGAAGCATGTAAAACATTCCTATTAGCCTACCAGTTCATTCAGTGCCTACCTAACCAAAATGAATGCGCCATGAGCCTTGACCTGCAGAACACACTTGCAAGAAGGGCTGAACACAAACAAGTGAGATTTTCCTCACCCTAATGACGTACAATGTTTTAGCGATTTTTAATGCCAACTGATTCGGAAGCAGCTGACCACCTCCGTTGAGACTGCACTGCCCTTCTGTTGGCACCAGTTGAAGAAAGAGACACCTGAAAATAACCTCACTTCAGAAAGGTTAACTTAAATAATGTCAGTACACAAAAGAGGCCGTCAACGCTGACATCTGGATCGCACCAGCAGCTGCCTTATCTACATTTGCTGTCATCGGGAAAACCGCCGTCAGGGGAATGCATAGGAGGAAACGTGAGACCTGTCATCAGGCAGTAATGATGGATATCATCGCAAAAGGTTTTCAAGTCAGCGGAATTTCTTTGTACTCAGTCAAGAAAAAGCGCCAGCAGGATTTGGTTATCTTCATGTTCTTATTTCAAGTAAGCAAGCTCTATTTCAAAAACTTTTTCTGTTTTGAACAGACTGTGTTACTGAATCCCAATATATTCTTCTTGTTATATTTGGTTAAGTTCGCCTTTATTAGATAATAAATTCATTTTACTGCCATGTGACTTTCAAAAGCATAAATACAACTTCAAGTGACTTTAAAATGCCTTTAAAATGTCTTTTGCTTAATATATTTCAGCCTAAACATCCTTCAGCAACAGGAGTTCGTCACTGCCATTTTGTCACTTGAATGCAGAGAACTGTCCCTTTCCTGCCCATTGCACAGGGGGAAAAGCAGTGGACTAACAAAGAAATTCATCATTGCTTTGATGGATCTAAGACTATCTCACTTTCCTCATTGCTATTTTGTCTTGGGTTTTTTGTGGTTTTATTTTTTGCACACACCCGTTTTGTTATCCTTCCCATTGTCAAACAGCAACAGTTAGAGCAAACCTTTGAGCTTAAGTGCTGTTCTTAGCTTTGCCAGAAGTCCCTGGAACATTCTTGCACCACAGAAGCGAACTACCGCTTCCAGTGCGGTACCAGGTCCCCAAAACGCTGCAGCCAAACAGAATGCAAAAGACTAATTTCACCTAGATGCACGGTTAACGAACCCAAATCTGACCTTCCTGCATGGCAGCAGTGTTTCTGCAGGTACCCATCAGGCACGTGCTGTCAGAGTGGCACTTTGACAGAGATTCCTAGGCAGTATTACGGAGTAACAACGGCCTCCATTCTAAATGATGTCCTGTAGTTCACAGCCTAACCCTTTCTTTGAAAATTTGGTTGTGTTAATTTACACACACCGAACGAAGTCCTCCGTTCTACTACAGCCTCCCTGTAACGGTTACAAGAAACTTAAATTTAGGTGAAACATAGATGATAGCTGTGATCGCAAGCTTTGTCATAGATGGCAGCCAAATGCCACGCACAAATCAAAGAGTATTAAATTGCTCTGAATACCAACATCTGCTTCATTGTGAAGCAGAACTGAGCGAGTTCCAGCCCGGAGCAGAGGTGCCCAGCAGATGGTGCTAGGCCATCTTAAACGCAGCCTCTCCCACAACCCAAACGCTTCACCCGTGAGCTGTACTATATTATTTTCCCAGCATAATGTCTTCAAGCTGTGGTAACCCAGATCTCCTATTTTAATCTTGTTCTCGAATTTGCAGCAATACATGTCAGTTGCTAAATGGAGAGGATTTTATATTTTTCACATGTCCTTGCTACCTAGAAGGTCCCTGTGAATCCCAGCCCATTTTTGAGAATTATCTCGTAGGTCAAATTCCCATTTCAATATATGAAATCATCACTTATCTTCAGGAGATGAGAGACTGAATGACTAACCCACTATTCCCTTCCCCAGCAACCAGCTCTGTCCATCCCTTTCATGTGCGCGTTTTCTAGAGAGCAATTAAGGGGGCAGGAATCTAACAGGTTGTTTCGCAAAGCACCACAAGAAATGACTGGAGTACAAGTGACGGTGGCAGGAAGCCGCAGGGATTTTGGGTCCTCTTTTTGCTGGTGCTGCATTCTGTATCGAGACACCAAGCAGGAAGAACTGGGGTTTTATATAACCCTCTAATTTTCACGTCCCTGTTTTAAAGAACAAAAAAACTCAGCTCCAATGGGAGCAATTATTGTAAGGATCCATTTGGCTTGCTTGTCTTTGACTCAAAATAGCTCTCCAAATGAGAAACAGATATATAAAAATAGTTCAGTTTAGATCCACAGAGATCAGAGTGAAATCAGCAGCCCACCCTTCCTTTCTGGCAGGCAATTTCATGAGAGAAGACGTGCTCTCGGAGGAGCGTTTGTGGGTGTGGGGGACAGAAAATATCCCAAAATGAAACACAGATCTCTAGCATTAGCATGTTAATTAGCACAACTCTGGCTACTCTTCAAGTACTGAATTCTTATTCTTACCTACAGACTCAACAGAAGAGATATTCTAGAGTAAATTGAGAAACTATTTAAACAGAAATGAATTAGCGGAATTTGGGGAAATGGGACTGAAGTGGACGCAGAATCTACAGCACAAAGTGAGAAACTGAAATCCTTACACTTGGAATGCAAGCCATTCAAATAACCTAAGGAAAGATGCATATATCAGGCAAAACAAGCAAGCAAAAAGATGGTTTTATTAATTCTTGTTCTTTCTCTTAATTTCTGTTACTAATTTTTCAATGCTTTCCACACCTACTGATAACAGAGCTTCAAAACACAGTACAAGGTGCCCAAGCATCACTGTCAGCAGTTTCCTCCTTTCCAGGAGGAAACAAAGTCACACACTCTCCTGTCACTTGTTTTAGGTCAAAAAGATTATTGGCTCCTATTACCTTCCTTCATAGCAAGTTTTATGTAAAATGGTTCTCCCGTTCTAGCAAAGTTCCTCTCTGTGTGTTGTACTTTAGGACCTCTCATGTTCCTCACGTCTAAGAGCTTAGCACACCTGTCTCAAAGAAAATGAGGTCTCCAGGCACTGACAAATTTCAACTGGCAAACACGGTTTGCACAATTTCTGATCAAACTTGTTGAAGAATTCATGTATTTCATAGAATTCTAAGGAGCCATTAGTAAAAGCTGTTTTCTACGACAGGGTTGTCTTCTCACTCTCTGTTAATATCTATAAATCTCTGCTGTATAGATAGCACATGAAAACCAAGGTAGTTGTTAACTGGACAACGTAAAATTCCATTATTATTTTCATTCAGACTGGTGCATCTTTGTGATTTCTCCATTGTCTACAGAGTACTCCCATGCAGACAAGAGCTGAACCTCCAATACAGAAAGGGTATTGCACAGAAATGTAACTAACACGCAAATCAAAACAAAATCCCAGTATTTTCCAAAAGAAATCTTTCACGCTTTTTTTACGTATCTTATGGCAAAGCGTCCTGACAAATGCTGCAATGGTGAGCCCTAAGCAGTAGCAGAATGGAGAGAACAATTTTTCACAAACATGAAGGAACCATTCTGCAACACAACTGGTCCTCCATGGAGCTCGTGCTTGGAGATGTTTCATGTTTCAGAAAGACTTCAGACAGAGACATATGTGATGGAGAACCTATTACTTCTGTAAGTAAAATTTCAAAACTGTTAACTATTCTTACTAAAAACAAGCCACGTCTTGCTTACTTTGAATTTTTCTAGTCCAAACTTGTCAAACATCCCCTAGACTTTTTTCCCTGCAAGACTAAAACCGAAGACTCCCATAGACCAAGTAATATTTTAGCTTCCCCTTGAATAAACTGAACAGTTTGAGCTTCTCATCTCTCTTATTGAATAATGCTTCCTGTATCTTAATGACAACCATTGCTCTTTTCTGAACGCTTTCCACTTTATCTTTCTAATAAGTCTTTTTATATATGGAAGTACTACTCTCTTCCTATTTCTATCAGATGTAATTATAGCTTATGCCCACATCTGTCCTCTTACCAAAACACAAGCTCCCAATGCATTGTCATAATTTCCTATTCTCCATCTGCCTTTAGCCCATTTTCAATCTTCTAGACTCTCGCTGTGATCCACCTTTTTATTTTTATATGTGTGATCTCATGTTTAGCTTTCATGCATTCAATGCCCAGAATTTACTCATACTTGATTACGCTACCTCCAAAACTGTCTTTGAAATGTTGTGCTGCTATGCTTATTCTGTGAACAGAGGACTGAAGCATGAAAAAAGGTCATTTTTTCCATAGTTGCATGGCAAGTTAATAGCAATCCTCTGTTGAACCCTCCTCCTGATTCCAACATGCTTTATTGTCATAGAGATGCTAAGAATTGTGTGGTAATGCTTAAAACTATCCAAATTGCTAGAGTATGAAGCAGTTACTAAGTACAGGCAATCTATTATTTCACTACGGCCTCTGAAAGAATTATGAAGGCATCTACTAAAAAATTAATCCTGTAGATTGAGAAGTAATCAAAATGTCACTGATACTGATCCTGTCACTCATTACTATGTTTCTCTCCATACATATCTTTGTTCCTCCTCTGTTGAAAGATTTGATGTATGAAGGAAAATCCTGCATAACTAAGTTAATGACCACAAACATGTTTTTCAGATGCACAGTACAATTTTAAGGTGTGCTTCTGGAATAGATTATTGAAAGATACTTGGGTGTCTAAATCCCCCCACTGAAAACATCAGTAGCCTGGCATCTAAACATCTTTAAAAGAATCTAATCTGGACTTTTAGTCCTTCCACTTCGTATTTCAAAATCATTTGAAGACAGTAATTCTGCCTGAAATTAATGACAATTTAAGCTACATTTTCCCAGACATGCAGGTATTCAGTGTGCAAAGTTGTATCTATAGAAAATGTCGCCATTATTCACTTTTGTCCAATGCTGTGTTGCCTTTTGAATAGATACCATTCAAGAGCTATGATTTTTCACTTTTGCCTGCTCACCTGTAGCCCTTCTCTAACTGCCTCCAGAAGATACGGGATGATGGAGTAATTCCACAAGTCAGTAAACCAAACTCTAGAACCATCTACATCTATTGGACAGGAGAGGAAGAGCCGTGGACCTGGAAAGTGAAATTCAGGCATTACACTCAAATCATGATCATGATATGCCTCAAAATAGGATGAAACAACAACTTCCAGTTCTCTGCAGAAAGAAGCCAAGGACAAGAGAACCTAAGTAGCTGTCTTGTGAACTGCTCTTCCCGAGAGCTCACAAATGCTCTGAATCAACTTGAAAAACTGTAGCCTTCAAAGTGAAAACAATTTACCAGCTTTCATAACACAGTTTGTATCCAGGACTTAGAACAAAGTAAAAAAAAAAAAAAAAAAAAAAAAAAAAAAAAAAAAAAAAACCCCAAAAAAAAAAAAAAACCACCCAACAAAAAAAGTTCAGAAACTTCTTGTGCAGTTTGCCTCAGAGTACAATGCCATCCAAAACCAGGGTTTTAAAGAAACCTTTTTTACCTGATATAGCACAAGGAAACGTACCTGATATACACAGAAATAAACCACATACATTTGCATATACCTTGACATACGGGCAGAGAACTTACCAATAGTAACATCAGAGGAACTGTGAGCCTCCAAGAATTTGTTCAGATGTTGCCAGACCTTGGGAATCCAATCAATAATTTTAACCAGCTCTGCATTTCTCATCCTGCCACTGATCTCTGTTTCAATTAGTTTTCTTCTCAAGAAACGGCCAAGAAAGCCTTTGACTGGCTCAGTGTGGTTAGCACATAGCACCCATCTACGGCCGAACAGCAGAAATGTCCATTATTTCTCTTTCATGCTACTGAACATACCTATTCTGGGCTAAATTTCTTTTATTATTTCTAGATGATTATCATGAGCAAAATGGGTTATCCCAGTCACATATGTTTCTTAGCAAAAATTATTTTGGAACAGTTAAGTTTGCTAGATGAAACAATTTCTACCGTGCATTTTTTCAGCTTATTTCTCATTCAGTATCTGCTTTGCTTAATATCTTACTTAAAATTTGTTAAGAGGATCAAATATGTTAACAATCGTCTGAAAAGGACAAGTTTCATGAACCCCAGTTACTTTAATAACAGCATCATAACAAAGCTGCACATGTTAGGGCAGCAACTAGTAGCGAATGGCATTTCTCAGTTTGCTATTTCAGCTGATAAGAACAATTTCAGATGACTCAATAGCCATTACTCCTTCGCCAGCCCACAAACATAAATAAGAAACATGAATAAACAGTACCTGAAATTATGGTGAAGTTGAAGATTAGGTGTTGAGGAGGTGGCTTGGTTCATTGTGCCAATAATATATGGACTATTTTTAAAAGAAAAAAAAAAAAAAAAAAAAAGAAAATCATACTTGTAAATTTTGAAAAACAACTTTTTACTAAGATCTCTACATTAAAAAAGGTTATTCAAACCTCTCTTGTCAAAGAAGGTTTTTGTAGCTACTTATAACCAAATCTCTACTGAGAATCTGACTTCTGAGAACATCAAATTCTGAAAGCAAACCAGAAATCTCAAGGTGGGAACTAAAAATGGGGGTTGAGTATTGAAGATGTACTGCATGAAGTGCATGCAACTTACCCAAATCCTCTACTACATTTTTATTACTGATTTCAGAGGAATTGATCATTTCATGCAGAAATAAAACTTCTGAAGTGCTGTCCATAATATGGACAGTCTGGCCATCTCAGTCCACTCTACCAAATTAATCTAGAGTTCAGTTTTGTAATCACATTTGCAATGAATGCAGTACTGAAATTTGGAATGTATTCTGATATTATTTCTTTACCATTTGTGGTACTTGCAGTTTAGAAGTCCATTAAAGATCTCTCCTAGGGAGCTAACGTGATGCAAATTATCCAAAATGATTACAAGAGGCATATCCACGGCGTTATTTTCACTGTTACACTGGTCTGCTAGGTTGGACAGGTATTGGCGGAGTTCCTGCAAAGCATATATAAAGAAAAGAAAAAGATAAAAAAATAAAAATAGAGTCTTCATCGTATTCCTTGAAAATCCAGTTAAGATAAATAAGCTACTGGCTTTGTCATGAAATCTAAAGCAAAAGAGCCTGCCATCTTACAAATACACAAGTTTTCCATGAGAAAACAGAAGAATATGGGTTTCTTTCTCTTTTGTAGGTTATGCTGAAGATTCAAAGACTGTATATGAAATCCTGCATAAGCTAACGGCCTAAAGCAGGGGTAAGATGTTCTTGCTTGGTTTGTGTTTTTTCATTTATGCTGTTCTAATCTGACACTCAGATGTCTGAAATGTATTTTTCTTTCTTTCCAGGAACTTGTTCAACTCTCTGTAGACCAAACCAAACTTTGCATCCAAGCTAGGTTCGTTACACTTCTTGCAACTGCGTGTCTATCGAAATACAGCTGATAAAATTAATCTGGAAAAAAGCATCCCTCGACAGAGGCCAGATTCGGATGCCTTCAGTAACGCCGTGAAAGAAGGATGAGCTTGCGGGGCTGGTGCCGGGTGACTAGGTGTGGTTGAAATTCTCTCAGCAGCTTTAAAGCATTTATTCCATAGCATGTCTCAAATTATACCAGTGGCCTACAACCACAATTTCAACCATCCCTTTCCTCCAGAGGAAAATGTGCCTAAGGCCATCAAATATACAGCTTTTTTTTGTTTTTTTTTTTTTTCTTTAATCTAGACGTTCACTGGAGGTTATTCAGCAAAACCAGCAGCACGTAAAAAAGCAAGCAGAGACATGCCTTACTGGTGCAGGAATGTGTCTGGACAACAGTTACTCCAAACCCAGCATATGCAGATTACAACTGCTGGTACTTGCAGCTGCAGAAACTCTTGAAGCCTAGAGATGCATTTGAGGGTTTTTGGAAAAATGCCTGCATGCAATAGGGATTGCTTACATTGCTGGGAATTTTATGCAGGTGTTTAACTTCCTCAGCAATTCTCAGAGGCTCCTAACCACTTGAAAATCATGACACCTTTAGGGGTTTAAATATACACCTGGAAGCCTGCTATTTCAAGCCCATAATCAGGTGAATCTGCAGTTCTGAAAATCTTAAATATTATTCCTTTCAGGATTAACATAAAGCTTTAAAAAGAAAGGTAAGTTTAAAATCAGCTTTTGATGGGTTAATAAAGGAGGAGTGTCTCATTTTTGATATATGGTAGCATTAATTGTACAAGGATGATTTCCATTTCCTCACCTTACTGGATTTATGGTCCACATTGAAGGTTGCAATAATGCCATCGGCCAGCTCCCTGCCCTCTCTAAGGACCATATACTCAGACAGGCGGTTTGCTAGGTACGTTTTACCAGTGCCACTGGGGCCAGATAAGATAATCCGTCTATGTTCCATCAGGAGAGAGACGTAACGCTGCAGTATAGGCTTTGGGATCAGTGATTCAAACACCAGACCGTCCAAACTGTTCTCACAGATACCTGCAACAGGAAAAGATTCCTCATTTAGAGGGATTCCCAATTTTTATCCAAATCACCTGCATTTTTCATTTTTTTTTTCTAAATAATTATAATTCTACAAAGCAATCCTGTTAGTGGAGTTTGAACAAATCAAGATTAATTGAAATGACTAGATACTCAAACCAGAGAACTGAAAACTGTGATTTTGTGAATGTACCTGGGCCCAGTAATAGTAGGAGAAAACCCCAAAGTAACACTTAGAAACACCAGATTTAGATCTGACCTGAGCTGACCAAGCTGTTCCTCACTTCAGAGATAAATCCCTTCCCCACTCTGGTATCCCCTGTGGTCGAGAGGAGCACAAATAAAGCTGGTAAAACAAGTGCACAAGGGACCTATGGGCTTAGCCTGGATCCTGCTTCAGCTCTCCCAGTTTTCAAAGTACTCAGCTGCATCCTACAGTGTCTAAGGCCCCATGAAAGTTGCCGTACAAATGATTCCAGGCCACATTTTTCACCCATAAACCACCCATTTTGCAGTATTTCACCATGCACGGTACGCATTCATCCAGAATTTACCTGTTTACTTTTGAATCACTAGACAAAAAACCCAGCTATCATCAACTCCCCCTACTTTCCCAAAGGCTTGTAATTAAACTCCTCCTCTGTATGCTGATAGCTATCTCTCCTAACATAAAACTCCTACTGATAAGAATTTACGCAATGTCAGCAGTCACTTTAGGAAGAATTGGCTCAGGGAAAATACACAGTGCTTCAAAATAAACAGCAGAAAGGGAAGTTGGCAGATCTCTCACAGAAACGTTTGCACCTCAATGGTTACTTGGAATATTAAATATTTATATAGGCAGCTTTCTATCTCAAAGGTATATGTAACTGATTTTCCATAAATTGATTAAAAACATTTCTCTTTTATTGAAAACTGTTATCACATATGAACCTTCAAAGTACAAGTCAAGCTGATGCACGTTAAATATAAAATCAGATTGCAGCTTTACAGATATGGCTAGACCTTAAGCATTATTTCAACTGGGATTTACTATCAGACAATGTATCCTAAGTAAGCAGAATACCCTGGGTTCACATCAAGCCTCAATAAATTGAGATATTTCATGGCTTATTTTGTCTTCCTACCCACTGATTTGCTACCCAAGGTCATTGATTTTTTTTACATCAATTCTCAAAAATCAAACTACTTTCAGTCAAATGCCACAGCCAAATTTCAAAGTTGAGCTGTAGAGCATTTGGCAATTTTCTCAAATACTCTACCGTCTGTATGCAAATCTATGCTCGAGATTTCACTGGTGTAACTTTGAGAAAACTGACGTACATTCAAAATGCAATGTTCGAGGATTTTTTCCCTCAAATCTAGTTTCATAGTATAGTTTTCATATAAAAATGGTTGCCTGAGAAACCAAATGAGCAACTGTATGAGAAATATAAGCATTAAATTCTTATCAGTGTGATATAATGAAATTGATGAGAACTCTGAAAACCATACGTTCTGAAAAAAATCCAGATTTTAGTCCCATGAATTCTGGGATCCCTCCTTACTGGTGCCTAAGGAGGGACTCTTCAGCAAAACCAATCAAGCAAGTTAAATCAAGCATTTTTTTACCCTGCATGAAGGAAATAACAACTATATCTGTTACAAAGAGGTAACGAAATTCTGAGGCTTTATTCATTTGGAAGGTACTTTGCTGTTCAAAAAACTCCACTGCATCCCTTGTGGTGTGAGGTCTTCTCCAGGACAACTCCAGGCACCAGTTCAAGGTATGTGGAGAAAACTGCTGTGTGTGTAATTATTCCTACTGTTACAGGTTGAAAATTCGCTGAATTTATAGACCCAGCATACTCTAAGTGCCGTCTTTATCAAATGAAAATAAGAAGGACCAGTAAATAAAAGGCAGGGACAGGAAAAAGAAACACAATAAAAAGTTTCTACTCCTCTGAGTTTCTTGACGCAGCATACTTTGATAAAACCGTAATTAGTGAGAACTACAACAGACAGGTCAAGTAACTACCTTTGATGGTAACTGAAATAGTGTTGTTTTCTCCAACTAGATAGCCACAGGGCAACAGCTCAGGTGTCTCTGCACTATTAGTGCGTTTGATTTCTCCAATGCTGTAGCCCAGAACGCTGTCTGAATTCAGTCCCAGCTGGCTCACGGGATCCACGTGAATGATATACTCCTAGGGTGAAAAAGGAACACCAAAAGTTAGGCAGCATTGAAATCTCTGTGACTTTGTTCTATGCCGTAGTAGTAATAATGACAGCAAGTTAAACATTGCTTGGTACCGTCAAAATCTAATAGGAGAATTCAAGCACACAGCAAATTGTACTCACTAACCTTAAACAACCGTCTTACAACCCCATCCAGAACATCCCATTTGGTCTTGCCGCTGACTCCAATGCAGCCTATGAGGAAGGTGCGAGGCCTCGAATCCTAAATGCATAGAAATGTGAATTTAAGTTAATAAATAAATCCTCACTATCACACAAGTCTGTCTAATGTAATTAAAATGCTGGCTATTTTTTTTCCCCTTTGATTGTTCCTTTTTTTTTTAAAGTTAAGGTGCATCTTTACCAGTCTATATGGTGAATTCTGAATGCTATATGAAATCCTTCTTTTCTACTAAACGTTTTAGAGTCACAAATCTAAAGGATACTGAAGTGGTACTGATGTTAAGTAAAAGGTATTTATTGATCAATCCATGACCAATTAAAAAACCTCTGAGAGGATTACAGCGTAGCAAAAAGACAGAAAGACTCTTAGAAAATATTAGGCAGAAAAGTTCACGGCATGTTCATTTTTCTATGACTTCACAATCAAATATGTTGCATTTGCAAGGTTTATCCTATTTACTTCTAGAAATGCTGCCATGGACATAGAAATCTAAATATATATATAAAAATTATATGTGGTTATATGTATATATAGCTATACATAGAGAGAGACTTTTATATATATGTATATATAACAAATTGTGTGTTATGTTTGGTGTATCACAGCACTTAAGTTGATAATTTTGTTTCTGATTTCTAAGGCAGACGAAAAAACCGAAACGCACCTCATTTTTCTGTTCTTCTATAGCTGCACTCACTGTGAAACATTCATTGAAGAAAAACCAATTTCTGTCATAAGACTTCAAGTTCAACTAAAACGTAAGGAATCATTTCCACATGATACCTCCACTGAGTGTGAGCACAGTGGAGTCCAATAGAATTAGCAAGATAGTAGTAATGTTAATTTGTTTATCCAGGGCTGTAATTTATTAATGCAAAATTGGTATTTAACAGAAAGATCCGCTGAGTCAATTTTATTTCTGATTATTCAAATTTTTGTCCCCCCCCCTTACAAAAGACATCAAATTATTTCTTAAATGCACTTTTATAGGTACTCATAATGTGAGATAGCAAGGTCAGTGCTTGGTAAAGACTGTGTAGTACATTCATGCATGCATTACATATATGAGGTGGGCTGCAATTTTACAATATCTGAAATTTATTTGGGTATTTAGGATTCTTTTAATTACTTGAGAATGGAGAACACCTGAAAGATGTCATTCTAAATGGAAAACTTGTACCAGAGAGGACAACTTGAACTAGAACGACAAGATCTCCCAGTTTGGATCCATTAAGTTCTTGTGGAATATCGGTCCTTACAGTATTTTGGTGCACCTTCTATCTACACCCTGGATCGTTTCCATTGTTAGTTAAAATTTCATTGAAGTTTAACAGAAAGGCCCAAGAGCTTTGTGCAGCTTTTAACATACCAGTCTTAAACAGATGCTATCCCAAGGTGCGGACTAGTCTGCTAACCTCTTTGATGCCGAAAGAGTGGCCTGGTTTTCGGAGATGCTACTGAAAGACTTAAATTCTAATGTTACCACCTACACTGCTGACACATGGTCTAGTCTAGCAATCCTGTGTTACGAACATGCTTCATGGCCAGTGCTGATGGCACCAACAAGAAACTGTAAAATAAAAAGCTGTCACCAGTGAGTCCATGAGACAACCTGAACTGGTGGTGTTGGCTCTCAGCAGTTCCAAGGAAGTGGGGTCTTAGTGCCTTGGCTATCACTAGTGATACACCAATGAAATATTTTGCAGAGAAAATTAAAAAAAAATCTTGGCAAATAAAAGCCTCCAAAACAAATTGGATTTGACTTCTCTGCCCCATTCCAAAGTCACTTATATTTCAAAGCTGGGGATGAAACGCAACTCACCTCCTTCCATTTCATCTCATCCTGAAAGTTGACAACTATTTTGACGTGCCTGCCTCCTTCTTTCCGGGCAGAGCCATCTCCAGTGTCATCTAACAGCATGTCTGTGAACAGAAAGCATCAACAGCTTCACAGCTGTATCTTAATAACACTGAAGACTATTCTGGTTTACGCCAACACATCTATTGTAGTCAAACACAACACATCTGGGCTTCGCATACCCAGAGGTAAAACGTAAGAACTGGCTTTACTGACTTCCCTACCAAATACCAATATCACTCCTAAAAAGTGAAGGTCATTGAAAATTTTTAGTCAGTTACTCTGTATTTTCCTTCCTATGATATATCCCCTGGCAAATGTACACCGTTAAATGGCTTTAAACATGACTCTTTGCAGCTGAGGTCATAATTGGACAACTCCGATCTAGGGTGTAGCAGACCTATGACAACATTTAAAAAGGCGGCTTTATGCCAGCTCCTGACATATTTCCACACTTCAACTGTTATAATTTTCATGCTTTCATTTTTCCATGGCTAACCAAACCAAATCTTCCAAGTGCAGGATGAAACCTGCCCACCGCCTTTCTCATTAAACTCACCAAGACTGGTTGACTCCGTAAGGTTCAAACTGTGTTGAGAGAGACCCACTGAATGTCTTGGAGAGGATGAAATGGAAACCTGAGACTGAGCCCTGCTACAGCTGCCGTGGTTTTCAGATTTCAGCCGGTCATTTTCTGCTTTTAATTTTTCAATCTCACTCTTAAAAAGACAAGTCAGGCGTTAGAAGGCACAGTGAAAACATACACTTAAAAGAGAGCAACATAGGTAACTTAAGAATAAATACTAGTTTAGCAGAAATGCCATTTTCACAATATTTATTTTAATAAATTCATGATTTTAATTATTACGACATCCCTTCCACGAAACTTTTCAAAGTATCCTAGAAAACACAAATATGTGGAAATTCACTAAACACTGAAATGCAGCTGCTTTAAGGCAGAGAGCATGGGAACATTTTAAGATGTTTCTGACAGTCAACAAAATGACCTCCCCGTGGGTTTCTAGTGTTGAAACAGTTACAGCTGCAGAGTTGAGGGCAGCAGAATTTGTATGTTCAAGCTGACTTTTAATGAAGGTACAAGGTTTAACACTGGCACAAAGCTAGACATAACTTTTAGTAAGCATTCAAAAATTCAAATTTACCTTCTTTCAGATCTTTACTGTGTCACAGGTTGACCAATCTTTAACATGTCAACATAGACTGCAATATTTGGTGTGGTTATTTCTTACCTGCATTCTGTTCATCGCCTCCCGGAGCTGGTCAAGCTGATGAGCGGAGCTAAGGGCTTCTAGACGAATATCAGTCAACTTCATCTCCTTGTCTCTTAGTTCGTTTCGTAACTGCATGACCGTTTCGGCTTCACTATCAGTGCATTCAGAAATACTGGAGAAGATTGAAAAATAGACATTGAACGAGACCATTTGTTACTTTTCAGATAGTGCTACTCCATCACTTATTGGTAAAGGAGGAAAAAAACCCTTTTATTCTGCAGGAAGCAGGCAACAGTTTTGGCTTATTGGATTAGTGATACCATAAATCAGATATTAAATAGGTCATGGAAACATTAGAGACTAGTGAAATAAATATGTCTGAGGGTTATTTTTCTTTAATCAGCACCTGAAACAGAATTCTGGAAGTCACCTACTATTGGATAGTCTTCATTTTTTTCATGTTAGTTGCCATAAAGGAAAACTTCTAAAGCCAAAATCTAAAAAAATTAAGGGGGTGCAGGCAGTAACAACAGTTGGTTGGAGATTGATGAGTTTACAGACAGATTTAAAGCTCACCAGGTGTGCACAGCTGGGTTTCCCCGAACTGTTCTGGAGGGCTTTAGAACTCTACACCTATTGAAGCGTGATAAATTCCTGCTCGCTTTAAAGCACTCATGCCTAAAAAAATTTTTGGTGGCGTTTTTCTTCCCTCCTCCGACAAAGAAAGATTCTGAGTGAGTAACATTTCAGCACATTCATAAGTGTATCTATATAAAGATCTACTACACAGCTGCGTGCTTTAAGGGAGATTTCATTTAAAATGTTTCTCCCTAAATCAGGTTAACGAGAGACGTTTTCCCCACCAAAAGCCAATAAGCCAAAATACACAAGTTTTACTTGTGCTCTAGCCTTCCCTCAGTTTGCGTATTTACTCTTTTCTCATGTTTAGCCTTTTGGCTTTCATGTCAAGATAAGACATCTGCACATAGCATTTTGACCGATGATAGACAGGATCATCATTTGACAATTTTCTGGCCTTAGATTTCTAAAGCACAGCTTGCCGTAGTCACCAGAAACTCACCACGTTAGGCTCAAGAGACTGGAGAAGCTTTAAAAAAAAGTTCACAGGGATTATCTTCTGCTACTAACATTTCATCATTATTATACGGCTGGAAACTATTGCTATTGTTTTCACCTCTTCATGTGAAAATAAGTGATAGGCAAAACTTCAAGTTTGGGTACTCAAATGCATTTGATCTGAAATCAGGCTGGAAGCTTTGCATGACATCTACAGGGTTGTAAGGCTGGCTGGTAATTACATGTTTCACAACACTGCCTCTTACAACTTTCTGTATTTATTTATCCTACTCAAGTGACGAAGCTACTGATAGAATTAATAGAAAATCTGTTTTACAAAGTTTTCCAGACACATTCTAAAATACAACTTCAGACTCAAAACAGTGCGGTAACACAATTATTTAACTTTGTATCACAGGTGGCCAAAACGAAGCATCAAGATTGCTTGTGACCTTCCCATGAACATAAAATGAGTCAGGCAGCAGAGAAGTCGTCCTGACTTTAAAGTCTACATCTCATTTGCATACACACCCAAGCAGAAGGGTATGGTTTGACCCTACAGATGAGCCTACACAATAGCTTGCTACTACCCAAAGGACACATTTGTTTCTCACACCTCTTCCCCAGCCTGCTCCTGGCTGTGCTGCTGTCATGCCCCCATGCTTACGCCAGCTGAGGCACATTAGAGTCTGATCAAATCTCTGAGCTGAGCCAGCCCAGCAACCTGGGGGAAAAAAAACCTGTTCCCATTTCTGTCAAATTATTTTTCACATAATTTAGCATGTTGCATTGGCTCAGTGGAGTTGTCTGAGAAGCAGCAGAGCCAGCGCAAGGGAAGGACCAGGCACAGGTGGCTGGGGAGGTACAGATGAAGCGAGGAGCGGATCATCTCCATTCATCAGGCACAAGCCATCAGATGAGTTCAGCTGTATCACTAAACCATGCTGTTTGATTTCCAGTAAATCCTTACCTTTATCTGAATTTGTCAACTTAATTGGGAACACATCATTGCAGATTAGTACAATATGTGCTGTCTTTAGCCAACAGAGAAAACAAAATCCCAGACTTGGCCTGGCTTGTTTCATTAACAGCAAGAGATCCAATTAATTCTGCACGCCAAGGTCACCCTGGTTATAAATACTCTTCATACTCAATATGTTCTGCTGAGAGAGCACCCCAATGAAATATTAAATTATACTACAGTAACGATATAATGATTTTGGCTTCCTGGACACTAATGCAAAGGTACTGGGTTGGGAAGCAGCTTACATATCTTTCATTCCCTGAATGTATAAATTCAACCTTTCTGTCCTCTGCCTGTGACCTCCTTTGACTACAGAACATTCAAAATAGACAGCAGTTGAAAGTGTGATCTTTGCTCATTCTTGTGCCAGTGTGACAGGGTTAAGGATTTTACCCAAAACACTTAGCAAAACACAGCACCGCTCTGGGAGATAACGTAAGTGATGCTTAGGAGCAGGACTGATCAGCGGCAACAGACCAGCCCTGACCTACGGGGCAATCCTGTCTGGCCCACTGTGTCTTCTGCTGCGGCCTCACGGTGAACAGCTGGTTTTAGCAGTGCATGTAACTGAACAGCTGTCAGACTCTTGTAAGGCTTATACAGATGTGCAGATTCTTAGACAGAGGCATCAAAGGCGACAGGATGGTGTGGGGTACATTTTGCCTCTGACTGTTTCTGTAAAGCGGCCCAGAGATGTCCTGTAAAGCTAGCATGGAAAACACTGGATGTCTCCAAAGCATGATGTTTCTCTTTTCCTCTACCAATGCAGCAAGATGCCTTCCACTCCATTTTCTATTTAAAAATTAAAAAAATCACTTACAGAGAATTGGAATGGGAAGCTCTCAGCAACGGTGTTGAAACAGTGGAGTTATGGTGTGGTAGCTTTGGTGATGAAGGTAACGAAGAATCAGTCATCTCCTCAATATCTGAATGAGAAGATGCTGACTTGGGAGATTTCTTTTTACCAAAAGCTTGCTTGAAGGAGCTGCGTAACTGAAAAAAACAAGACCACAACAGTAGGCACATCGTTAAGGATGAAACCAGGCAAAAAAAGCCACAGAGTAAAAACTCTTAACATGCAAATACTCCAGATGATACAGCCATACTCACATACATTTTAATATGGGTAAAAAAGAATAAACAAGCTTTTTTCCTTAACTATTTTATGAGATTAATAAGGTCAATAGGACTGCATATCAATGCTTCCTATTTTTATGGTAACTATTTTATAGCAGATTCTGTTCAGTGCAACAAGATTTACAGCGATGTTGTAACAACTTGCAGCTATAACGTAATGTGGCTCAGACAAGGTTAATGATGCGGAAACGGTTAGTGATGTAAATGGATGGGTTAGCTTTGTATCTCATAGTTTAAAGTAGGTCTTCCTTACCTCATTGACCTGCCGGAAGAAGCGCAAGCAAAAGGAAGTGGGGGAAGGAAAAAAGACATGTTTTAAAAGATAAAGCCAGTGATAAGGAAAGCTTTGGATTTCTAAGACAAACATGACCAATAATCAACAAAGACCAACAGTTACTTTAAAACTGGAACTCTGTTATTTTCCAAACCCAGGTGTTTCAAACAACATACGGTCATCTTTTGCATTACTTGAGGGAGACACCAGACCCAAATCTCTTAACTACTTAAATTACATTTTCTCCTTAGCTGAGACAGAACATTTTGGCTAATAGCCAAGTTAATATTGTGTTCTTCCTTGCAGGAATGGGTATTTCACCAGGTGAAAAGACTGAATCTTCTCTACCTACCTGCAACTAAAATAACCTTTTTAAAAGTGACGGCCGTTTTCCAAACCACAAAAAGAATGAATTCATGTGATTAAACTGATGTTATCCCAAAGTTACAGTTCAACAGTTAGTGTTCAAGAAGCATTTGGACAATGCTCTTAGGTATATGGTTTAACGTTTAGATTGCCCTGCGTGGAGTCAGGGTTTGCACTTGATAATCCTCATGGGTCCCTTCCAACTCAGGATACCCTATGAACACCGTTTAACGCTATCGCAAATTACATGTTGTAAACAGGCTGGCTTAATATGAGCTGAAAGTTATTTTTAAACTCGACAAAGGCTCCTACAGTGAGAAATGTTGAAAATCTGGTGTTTCAGCTCTGAAGGGACAGCTGTGTTGTTTCTATATATAACGAAAAAAATTTCAGCTGAGAACTTCCCCAGTATTTGTGGAATAAACAATGTGTGAATCAGACTCAACTTACATATTTTTCTCAGTAAATTACTGATTTAATTTCCAATCTTCATTTTACAGTGAGGATGTACTCATTTTTAATAACAACATCAACACAGTGTCCTGTTTCTTCTACTTCCTGAAAACCTTATTTATTCCTCTTTATAATAAGGAGATGTTTCCTTAACCTTCTTTAAAAATAGTCATCTGATGAATAAGAAGTGTAGGCTGATGTAGGATAATATCTACTAGGTTACAATAACAAAGAATAGAACCTAAAGCAAAAATTTAAGAAGTGTTTACCTTAACTAAGCCTTAATGATTATAAAAGGTTCGTTTCACAAATCAAGAGTTGCTAGCAATTTAAAAGTTACAGCAATTTAATTTGCCTGTAACTAACATATAATCAGCACAAGAAGGATTTGGAGATGACGTTCTTTCCATTCAACGAATTATTTAAGGGGCAGAGTGGAAATACTGCTGTTATGAAGGACCTGGCAAGATATAGAATCATAGAATCATAGAATCGTTTAGGTTGGA